TATTTTGTTACATTTTTCTCTACAGAGTAACACAATGTCTCAGAGTAACAATTCCAATATTACCACCAAACAATCATTTCTGATAACAGCGTAATATTTTGTTTTTGTAGTTTTCTTCTTAGAGTAAATCCCACTAGGAATACGTGGTCAAATTCTAAGCTTAGAAGGCACTTAGAATAGTTCCTCTCTGTGTATTTCTGCTACCAGCTCATCACACAGGAGCCTCTACTATGTTTTGCTTTCAATTTTTAGGAGTTGCTTTTTACAGTTTAATTTAGTTTTATAATCATGTAAAACATGTATATGGTCAAAGTCAAATCTATAAAATATGTTTAAAGGTCTAACTCCTCTGCCCTGTTCCTTCTTTTTGTTTAAACCACCAATGTTTATTTTTTCATTACAAGAAAGTACGTATTTCTACTTTTTATTTTTTTATCTCCCCTTCTTAGATAAATAGTACATTACACACACTTTTCTCCACCTTGTTTTTTTCTTTGAACAATGTCTCCTGCGGATCACATCATTAGTAGTTAGGGATCATCCTCCTTTTTAAAGAAGTTTTGGCAAAATACACATAATGTAAAAGTTACTGTCTTAACCGTTTTGATACGACGTGCCATTCAGTGGTATTCAGTATATTCACATTGTTGTGCAGCCATCTTCTCCATCCACCTCTGCAACTCTTTCCAGCTTGTAAAATTGAAACTCTGTATCTGTTAAACAATAACTCTCCATCCCCACTCCCCCCAGCCCCTGGAAACCACCTTCTCTTTGTGTGGTTTTGACTACTCAAAATACCATACAAGTAGAATGATACAATATTTGCCTATTAGTGACCGGCTTATTTCATTTAGCGTAATGTCCTCAAGGTTTGTCTGTATTGTAGCATATTGCAGAATTTCCTTCCTTTTTAGGGCTGGATAATATTCCACTGTATGACTAGACCACATTTTGTTCATCCATTCATCCATCAATGGACACGGGTTACTTCCAGATTTTAACTATTGTGAATGATGCTGCTATGAACATGGGTGTACATGTATCTCTTTCGGTCCCTGCTTTCAATTCTTTTTGGTATGAAACCCAGAAGTGGGTTGCCAGATCACATGGTAATTCTATTTTTAATTCGTTGAGGAACCTTCCTCATTCTTTTTATGACTGCAAAGTACCTCATTGTGTGGATGTCCTACTGTTTATTCTTCTAGGCCTTCCTGATGGACATCTGGCTTTCTTCCAGGCTTTAGCTATTACAAATAGAGCTGCAATAAATAGCCTTTTCCCTGTGTCTCTTTGTATTGTTTGCAGTGTGTCTTTAGGGAAGATTCTTAGAAGTGGGATGGCAGGATCAAAGGGCACACACACGTGTAGTCTGATGAGGTATTGCCAAATTCCCTTCCATAGGCACAGTGCATTTTGCATTCCCACCAGCAAAGTATGAGAAAGTCTGTTTTCTCACAGCCTGGACAAGAGAGTATTTTGTTAAACTTTTGGATCTGGGCCAATCTGGTCAGCAAGAAATAGTTCCTTGGGTAAAATCTGCATTTCTTTAACTGCCTCAAGGTTGAGCAACTTTTCCTATAGCTTTGAAACATTTGCCTTTCTTTTCTGTAAACTGTTCGTATTTTTCGTGCATTTTTCTCACAAGTTGTTGGCCTCGTAATTTACATTATAAGCTCTTTATGGTCTTAGACTGTTCTTACAGTAACCCTTTGTCTGTGATATAGTTGTGAACCTTTGTTTTTAAAACCAATCTGTCATTTGTCTTGTTTTTTTTAATTAAAAAAAATTTTTGTCCCTCGAAACTTCATTTCCTTGAAACGTATTAATTTTTCCCTTTATTCCTCCTGGATGAATCAGAATTAGGAAAGCTTTAACCACTCTCAAATTATAAAAGTATCTACCCACATTTCCCTTTAGGACTTAGATGGTTTGATTTTTTACACTCAAATCTCCAATCCTGTTGGCATGCATCCTGGTAAACAAGAGGACCGCTCTAATCATTTCAGATTCCACAGAGCTCGCCAATTATTGGAACACTAACTGTTAGATCACCTATTGTTTCCCCACAATTTATGACTCTGCCTTTATCACATACAAGCTTTCCATAGGCAGAGGGGGCTATTTCTGGATTTTGTGCTCTGTTCTCCCAAGCAATCACTTTATTTCATTTACCACTGCTCAGGACCCTTCCTGCCAAGGTAACCCCTGGAGAGGGCTCCTACCTGACAACAAAGCCCTTTGCTCCACGCCCAGAGGTCAAGCTTTGGAGGCAAATGCTCTGGAGAGGGAGCTCTGTGGGAGGCAAATTCACACTAACCCACAATCTGCAGGTAAGGAGGTGTTTCTGGAGAATCACCTTCAGAGAGGTAGGCCCTCTGGCAGTAGAAAACCCTTACCCTGTCCCTGGGAAAGGGTTAGGTGGAACCACACTCTATGCCTTAGAACCAGGGCTGGGGCGGGTGGGGGTGGGGAATCCAAGGCCTGGCTAATGGTAACCCTTGAGGGATCATTTCTTTATAGGAACACATAACCATTTATCACCCACCCACCTACCCATGTCATTAATATTTACTTTACTTCTACTTGCAGCAAACACCATGCTGTAAGCTGTGGGTGACAGCCAGTCAATACACTGTTCTTGCTTCTTTTGGGGAGATGAGAGCAGAAGGTCTGAAAGCTAAAAGCATCATAAACCCTTGGGCCTTGTTTTCCAAGCAGTAGTCAATGCATCTGCGTAAGTAAATCACTGTGTCTTGTTAAAACTCCACTGGTTAGAAATAGAGGAGGAGGAGAGGGCCAGGGCAGTGGAATGGCTGAAACAAACCTTTACTGGTATGTTGAGCTATCATTCTTTAAATAGACAAATAAAGCAACAAAAATTACTTTCTGAAAGACAGGCTTGCAGTTTAGAGGGGGAGAGACCACTTCTGGTTTGGAGGCTCCAGGGGAATTGTTGAATTGACTTTGCAACAAGGTAGGAATCAAGTGAATATTGATAAGATGAGTAGAGGGGTCATGAATCAATTCGATTTGCAAATCAGTCTTTGAGTTGGTTTTCAATGGATTGGTCTGCCTCCAGCAAGGGATTTGGGTGTGGAGGGAGGGTCGCACCTCCTACTTCCCTCCAGCACCTAAAAGGCAGACCCTGAAGGTGCAGAGCAGGTTTAGGGCGGCAGGAAGTGGAGGCCCGTCTTACTCCCCTACCTGCAGGGACACTACATTATGGCCTTCCTGCTTTACTTGCCTCACAGTATCCCTTTGGGGATCGACACATGTGCACACACTGAATAACTTGGCTTACAGTCAAGTGTCCCACAACATTATTATTGTTCACGTGGCCTAGATTTTGCAATCACTGCCAAATGGCTATTCATTGCTGAGCAGCTCTGACCCCTGTACCTCCCTTGGCACTGCCAGGTGGATGACCTTGAAGCCCCAGTTTCATAGAATCAGACGCCCTTGAAGAGTTAAAGTGATCCTACTCCTTCAAGGAAGAAATTCAGATGGCCAACAGGCACATGAAAAGATGCTCCACATCTCTTATTTTCAGGGAAATGCAAATTAAAACCACAATGAGATATCACCACACACCAGTTAGGATGGCCAACATCCAAAAGACAAGGAACAGCAAACACTGATGAGGATGCACAGAAAGGGGGGCCCTCCTACACTGCTGGGGGGAATGTAAATTAGTTCAACCATTGTGGAAAGCAGTATGGAGGTTCCTCAAAAAACTAAAAATAGAAATACCATTGGACCCAGGAATTCCACTCCTAGGAATTTACCCAAAGAAAACAAGATCTCAGATTCAAAAAGACATACATACCCTATGTTTAATGCAGCACTATGTACCATAGCCAAGATATGGAAGCAACCTAAGTGTCCATCAGTAGATGAATGGATAAAGAAGATGTGGTACATGATGGAATATTATTCAGCCATAAGAAGAAAACAAATCCTACCATTTGCAACAACATGGATGGAGCTAGAGGGTATTATGCTCAGTGAAATAAGCCAGGCAGAGAAAGACAAGTACCAAGCGATTTCCCTCATTTGTGGAGTATAACAATGAAGCAAAACTGAAGGAAGAGAAAGGCAGCAGACTCACAGACTCCAAGAAGGGGCTAGCTGTTACCAAAGGGGAGGGGTGGGGAGGGAGGGAGAAGGGGACTGAGGGGCATTATAATTAGCACACATAGTGTAGGTGGGTCAGGGGGAAGGTAGCATCGCGCAGAAGCATTGCGCAGAGAAGTAGTGACTCTATAGCATCTTACAATGCTGATGGACAGTGACTTCAACGGGGTGTGTGGGGGGCACTTGATAATATGGGTGAATGTAGTAACCACAATGTTGCTCATGTGAAACCTTCATAAGATTGTATATCAATGATACCTTAATAAAAAAAATTAAACATGCAACTACCATACAAACTAAAAAAAAAAAGGAGTTCAAGTGATCCTATGAGTCACGTTGTCCTGTGATCTCAGTGTTGGAAGTGTTTTGGTTTAAGTAAAGAACAGTGGTGCATGGGGGTCCGGCTGCCCGCACCCCAGCTCTGGGACTCACTTTCGCGGGAAGCCAGGGATTCCAAGGGAGTGTCCTGCCTCCCGGGTGTGTGCAGAGGGAGGAGCTGCCGGGTTGTGTGGCTCTGTCCTTCCTGCCCTGAGTGCAGGCCTTGGCCGGGTCCAGGCCAGGCGGCCATGCTCCAGGCTGTCCTGTGCTGTCCCTCCCCCTGCCTGGAGGCCGGAGGCTCTGCTGGGCTGCAGCAGCGCCAGCTGTCTCCTCGTCCAATGAAGTGACCCCTGCCCCTTCCTCCATCCCAGGGAGTCACACCCACGTCCCCTGGTGTCCCCTGGGACAACACCCACCCCCTTTGCCTTTGTCCCACAGGCTTTCCCGCCCCCCCTCTGCCCTGGCTACTCTCCAGCCTCACCCTCTGCCTGTCAGAGTGGCACATGGTGCGGAGAACAGAGGGACGGGCATCTCCCTGATGTGGGGTCTGGACCTCTCTTGGTGCTGCCCATGGTGGCTGGCAGACAATGGCTTTTGAAGGATCCTAACGAGAAGCTGTCAAGAACCTCCTTGCAATGATGAAGCCAAGGAGACATCACCAGACGTCACCGTGCGACTTGGGAGGCGTTTGAATGATCCTCCCCTTCCTCCTCATTATTATTATTATTTTCATAGAGAAAACCAAGCCTGTGGGATCAAATCTCACAGCCCTGGTGTCTGGAGTTAACTCGGGTGTGTCAGCTGGAAGAGTGAGAGGGAGACACCAGGGTGGAAGTTCTGGAGCCCGTGACCTACCACTGAGACCGCAGGGCAGCTCATGGGCCATGCGCAGTGACCAGCCAGCCCAGAGGCCAGTGGAGGAAGGAAGTGGGCTTTGGGGCCCTGCTGAACCATTAGGTGAGGATGCCTTGTGGGACTGGCTTTTGGCAGGGGCTCTGCAGGGAGGTTAGTCAACCCCTTGTCTGGCTCTCCATCTCCTGGGAGAAGAGATCAGATTGAGGCCCCATGACGTCGGCTCTAAGAGGTGTTTCGGGCCTACCTTGCCGAAAGAACTGTTTTGGTTTGTAAGTTTCAATGCATTTGTGTCCAAAGAGAAGGGGGTTGGAGCATTTGCCCGTGGCAGGAAGTTTCATCATCTGCAGCCTTGGCACGCGGGGTCAGCTGTCTGTTCAGGGTCCAGCACATCCAGCTGCATGTGGCGCCCCAAAGGGAAAACAAGGCTCGTCTCTGGCCTAGAAGCTTTTGGTCCTCTGTCCTGAAAGCCGAGCCTACCATGTAGACGAGATGCTACCCCAGCCAGGATCTCTGCTTTGTCAAAACAGCTCTCAGGGTAAATGGGTGTAAACTTTATGCAGATACATAAGATCTGCCTCTGTGATCATCCCCACAAGGAACTAGAAGGGGAAACAATCCCAAGAAACTCCCCAGAGGTCTCCCTGGATCTCCTCAGTGCACCCCAGGACTTCCATATTTGCTGTTCCCTCTGCCTGGACACTCTTCCCCCCAATTTTTGCTGGACTAGCCTCTTCTCAGCACTGAAGACTCAGTCAGGTGTCAGCAAGTAGAGGCCTTCCCTGACCACTACCCAAAGTGGTCCATCCCCTAAGACTCAGTATCTCTCTAAGCTGTTAATGTTTTTCTTTACAGTATTTATACTATTTCTGTTCATTATGCGCCCTTTTTCCATCACTGCCTGGCATGTGAACTCTCCGAGCACTGGCCGCACCACGGTAATCATTGCCGTGTCCTGGTGCCCAGCACGGTGCCTGCCCCCAGTGGATGTCCATTCAGTGTCTGTCAAAGCGGTGGCTGGCATTTGGATCAGATAAGAAAGGAAGTGGGTGGCTTGGAGAAGTGCATGGGGGGAGAAGGTGGCCTTTGCCGTCTGTCAGCTTTCCTCTTCATGGGCCTCCTGAGGGGCTGGTCACAGAAAGAAAGAAACCCCCTACCCAACTCTGTCCCTTTGGTCCCTTCGCCAGTAAGGAGGCTGTCACTCCTCTGCAGGCTGGGGGCAGGAAGATGGATCGTCCCCCATCAGGGGTGTTTCTGGGGCAGCAGGATGACCTGCCTCTGTCTTACCTAAATCAAACACTCCAGCACCATGGGTAAGCCTATCAGAAATCCCTAGAGATTCCTGCCTGTCTGGGGCTGGAACCGGGGAGCCCCGAGCTGGTAAAAGTAGGGTGTTTACAAGTAAGTGACACAGGTGGGGACAGGGTGAAGAAGCCAGGGGTCCCATCTGGATTGCCCACAAGCTCTGAGTTCGTCTAGCACCCAGAGTCCCCTTCACTCTGCCTTGGGCTGGCCCTACTTGGGTTGAGTTCCTTCAAGGCAGATCTGAGGTGGGGGTTGGGTGCAAACGCTCTACTGAGGCAGAACTCTCAGGAAGGGAGGGGCAAGCAGGAGGGGCAGCAGGACACGCCAAGCTGTGCTCAGCTCAAGTCTGACCTCAGCCTGGTCCCAGCGGACCCTGGAGCGTGCGGGACACCGCGGAGCTCATCCACCTTCACCCAAGGGGATGGGCCTTTGCAGCCCTGTACCCCAGGGCCACTGGCAGCAGGCACCCATCCTTCCTGCCAGCCGAAAAGCAGCTCTGGAGAAGGACACAGGTGGGCTGGCGCCAACCATTCCCAGCTGCTGAGGACTGGCTGCACCTGCGGGTGGGCGGGGCCTCCACAGTGTCCCCTCCAGCCTCCAGCCCAGCCTCCTACCTCCCCAGAGTGAATCTACCCCTCCCTCAGGGGCCTCTGCCATTTGCCCTGCCTCCCCACCCCCTTCCTGGTCCTCGGAAAGTCCCCCTCCAGGGCCTCCACCACACTCTTTGTTTCCTGCAGCCCTCGTGGACCCCGGTCCTGTCCTCCTGGGCTCCTGTTCCACTCTCCCGCTCATCTCCGCCTGCCCTGGGAAGGCAAGGGCCACCCCCATCCTTCGCCCGTGTCTTTCACAGGGCTTCACACAGAGCTGGGCCTCTGTGAAGTGACTCAGAATGGACAGAACAGAGTCAGAGGACCCCAAACTCAGGAGGCCACAGTCCAGAGCCTGAGCCATGAAACAGCGTCTCCAGGCTCTGGGCTGAGCTGGGATTCGAACCCAGGATGCCACTTGAATCTCCCCTGTTGCCAAGTCCAGATGAGCATACATATTTTCTAACTCACTCACCTGGACTCAGCATTTTGTGTGAAGTTGACCCACTTCTCAGAAAACCTATGAACCAAAATCCCCAGGAGAATTAGGATACATAGAGGTCAAGTATGTGGGATTTCCAGAGGAAGTGAAAGCTTGGCTTCTGCATCGGTTGGGACACAGACCAGCTGGCTCCCACTCCCGCAGTTGGCTTTATGCATCAGCTCAGAGCAGGCTTATTCTCCCTGGGCCCAAGTTCACAAGCCCCCAGCAGAGAACAGAACGGGGCCGCTTGTCAGTGTCACTGCCAGTGTGTCCCCCTGAGGTCTGGGAGGCATTAGAAAGACTCTGAGGCCTGGCCACAGACTTAGCACTTAGGAAGCAAAGAGAGTCTGTGTCTGTCTGTCTGTCTCCTATGAGCAGCTCTGGACCCAGCTCTCTCAGACCCAGCTCTAGGATACCCGGGAATGGACAGAAGAACAGACGAAAGGCAAAAAAGATGTGCCTGGGACAACTCGGAGGCCAGTGTTGTACTTTCTCTACCAGTGCTAAGAAAGGATGTGCCCACCAATAATAATTTGAACAGGACCCAAGGCAGCAGCTGGACTGAGAGAGGAAAAGAGTGCAAAGACAGGTTATTCAGGGCCACAAATGGCTTCTCTCTCCTGCTCAGTCTCCCCCTCGCTCTCTGAACTTCTTCTACCCATGGGCACCAGCCTATCCTGTCTCACGGCGGGTATGTGGGGAAACAGGAGAACTGGCTCCTGACTCTTCCTGGCCAGCCGCCTGCAAATTGTAGGTCTCAGACTACGAGGGGATCCAAGCTCAGAGCCACGGCCCCCAGACACGGTTTGCCGGCCCTTTGGTGTCTTCCGTTTGCTGACACCCAGGGGACCAAAGGTTTTTCTCTCCCTCCAGTCATACAATTGGACTCAGAGTCTTTCCTTTCAGGAATTTACAGGGGGCTGACAGGAAGAGCACCTGACAGAATATGAGGGCTACCAGCTCCCCCAGGGGAAGTGACTTCTAGGCCAAGACCTTGGGGAGTCTGCTTTATTTTTTAAATCGGAATATAGTTGCTATACAATATTATATTGGTTTCAGGTGTACAACATCGTGATTTGACGAGCATATACAGAAATGCTTACCATGATAAGCGTAGTAGCCATCTGTCAATATACAAAGATACTGCAATATTATTTATTGACTGTATTTCCTATGCTGTATTTTTATCCCTAATTTATTTTATAATTGGATGTCGGTACTTCTTTATCCCCTTCACCTATTTTGCCCACCCTCCACTCCCTCCCATATGGCAACTTCCAGTCCACTCTCTGTGCTTATGGGTCTGTTTCTGTTTTGTTTGTTCAATTGTTTGTTTTTTAGATTCCACATATAAGTGAGCCATATGGTATTTGTCTTTCTCCGTCTGAGTTACTTCATTTAACATAATGCCTTCTAGGTCCATCCATGTTGTTACAGATGGCAAGATTTCATTCTTTTTTTAATGGCTGAGTTAATATTCTGTTGTACATATTGTCACATGTACTAATAGATACCACATCTTCTTTATCCATCCATCTATTGACAGACACTTAGGCTGCTTCCATTTTTGGCTATTGTACATAATGCTGCAAGAAACGTAGGGGTGCATGTATATCTTTTCGAATTAGTGATTTTGTTTTCTTTGAGTAAATTCCCAGAAGTGGGCCATATGGCATTTCTATTTTTAGTATTTTGAGAAAACTTCATATTGCTTTCCACAGTGGCTGCACCATTTACATTCCCACCAACAACTTACAAACATTCCCTTTTCTTCTCATCCTCGTCAACACTTGTAATTTCTTGTCTTGTTGCCATTGTAGAGTCTATTTGTGTTTCTCGGAGTTGGACAGCTGGTTGGGATGAAAAAGGAGACAGCAGTTTGCATCATGTGTAAATTCCAGGGCAATAAAAGGAAGAACTATTAATACACACAACTTGGGTGAATCCCACACGCATTATGCTGAACGAAGACAGCTAGTCTCAGAAGGCCATATACTGTAAGATTGCACTTATGTGACACTCATGAAGACAAAACCACAGGGAGGGAGAACAGATAGTGGTTGTCAGGGTTGTGAGTGGGGAAAGGGAAAGGGATAGCAGGAGGGGTGGAAATAATGGAATTGTTTATTCTGATTATGGTGACAATTATGTGACTCTATAAATGTGCTAAAATTCAAAGACTGTACACCAGAGAAGGTCCATTTTACTGTAGGGATAATTTTTCACATAACAACTTTAAAAGTCGATGATAATAATGGCTGCCATTTGTTTCCCGATTGTGTGCTGTGGGCGGTACATGCATCATCTCTTTATTCCTCTCCACAAGCCCGTTTGACACAGGTCATGCAGCTTGCTCAAGGTCACATAGCATGTGGCAGAGCTCAGACTTGAACCTACCTCTGTCTAACTGAAGAGCCTGAGATCTAATCACTGTGGGTCCCTCGCTTGGGGACAGGAGTGGGAAATGAGCACACGGGGGTTAGGACCTTGGCCTTGCAGAGAGCACCGGCAAGAGTCAGGTTCCTTCTGGTCGGGGAAGCTATCAGCTGGTGGGGAGGGCTGGGCCTGGTTGTAGATGGGGCCACTGGCTTGACTATGCATCCATCTGCTTAAAGTGGCCCTTGGAGTCCCAGCCCCATTTTTCTGGTGCTCCCAAGGGTCAGGGTTGGGGTAGGTGAGTGGAGCCCCTGTCCCCTGGAAGACACACCCTCCCTGAAGGAGAAAAGATGGTCATAAGGGTCATTGCCTTCTGCCTAGAGCCAGGGGTGGGGAAATGGGGACTGGGAGATAAGGGGGCATTTTTCAGTTTTCTCCTTATTTTTATGTTCCACAAATCACTTTGTTTTCCTTTTTTGTTAAAGAATGTTTCATTTGTTGAACCATGCAGGTGAAGGGGCAACTAATAGGCTGCACAAATTACCGAAGTTGCTCCCCAGATGTGAGGGGACCTCTAAGTCTTGCAGGGTGGCTGTTGCCGGGTGTGGAGTGTTCTAACAACAGGAAGCAGCTGTGCAAACCCGAGGCCGAAGAGAAGGCGCACTTTAGGCAAACTGAAGATTTCAGTATATTTCAAGAGAGCTGAGCATCAAGCTCAAGGAGCAGCACATGGGATCTGAGCCTGGAGAGGGGCCAGGGGCACGTGCACGCCTATGCCGACCTGAGGACTTGAGCTTTATATAAGGGCAGTGGGCAGGCAGGATGGCGATGCCATTTAGAAAGATCACCCAAGACTGGCCAGAGGGCGTCTGTTATACCCAGGGTACCCCCCATGTGACCTGAGGGGGCCTGGAGTTGGCCAGAAGCAGAATGGACAGGTGGGCAGGTTCAAAAGGTATTTATGGGGTAGGATCCACAGGCCTTGGGATGGTTCGGATTTGGGGGAAGGACAGAAAGGCCTCACAGAGCTCTGACTCAATAAAGATGCTTTTCCTTGGGACAGACACACAGAAGAAGAGGTGACCGGGAGTTTGCTTTTGGAAACGTTCTGTTTAGGTGCCTCTGGGTTGTGGGAGGGCAGCTGTCCGGATGCTCGGTTGCGCTGTTCGGGCCGAGGCAAGAGCTGACCTAGTGATGCAGGCTTGGGAGTCATGGACATGGGTTTTAAGAAGCCTTGGGTGCGGATAACATGACTGGGAAGAACTGGGAAGACAGTAGCTTGAACTGGGAAGCAAGCGGAGAAGAAGGACCAAGGCAGAAACCAGGACACCGCCCCCCCGACCCGCATCTAAACTCAGCCATTCACATACCACCCTCACCCATTTGCCGTATCAATGCAACTTACCTCTATTATTATTATTTTTGAAGTATCATTGCTATACAATCTTCTATTGGTTTCAAATGTACAGCACAGTGGTTCAACCATTACCCATATTATTAAATCTTCACCCCCCCCCAGTGTGGTTCCTATCCACCAACATAAAAAGATGCTACAGAATCATTGACTGCATTCTCCATGATGTACTACCACCGTCCCTGTGACCAGCTTACATTGTGGTTGTGAATTATTGTGCCCCTTTGTCCCCCTACTATTTTCTATTTAATATTTTTCTTTAAGCTGTCTAATTTTCAATTGAATGTATTTATTTAAAAGGAAAATTTACATAATAGACAAAAACCCGGCAGCATTGCCATGATTAGATACTGAGCATAAAAATAAATTCAATGCTAACAAAACAATAAGTACTATGCAATTCTAGCTAGATACAATTGCATCCTTTCTTTGTTCAAAACAGAGCTGCACATGTTAGTCCTACATTCAAGACATACCCACACCCAGCTGAGGCTTACCCCTAGAAGAAGTCAGGATTGGGAGATAATTAAAAAGGGAGTAACTTTCTAACTGACACATAAAATCTGCCCACATCTCACTTAACAGCTAGCTGGCTTGGCACCAGTGGGAGCCACACCCTTTATTCAAAGCAGGGGTCCTCACGCTTTTTCTGTAAAGGACCAAATAGCAAATATTTTAGACTTTGAGGGCCACTTACATCCTTGCCACATGTTCCCCTCCCCTTCCTCCCCCTTTTCTTGCAATCCTTTGAAACCACTGTTAGTTCCAGGCTGTATAAAAACAGGCCCAGGACTGGATTTGGCCCATAGGCTGTCTTTTGCCAACTGCTGGTTTAGAGGGTGGAGAGAAGAGACAGGAGTTTATGGCATCACAGGGGTTCCGAGGCACTCAACTCCTGACCACAAATACTCCCCAGCCCATCCTCACATGGCCCTTCACTGTCTGTTCTTAGGCCGCCTCCGCAGGGTAGTTCCTCGTGCCCCACGGGTCTGTGGGAGATTTGACCACACCTTCTCTGTGTTCTCAGTTTCTCAGGATCAGAGACTTCTCAGAACCCGTTGTTTAGGGACCCACTTGGGGTCAGCATTTCAGCACCAGCATCATCCCCTGGACTCTAAAGTTTCTCTTCTGATACCACTTCTTGCTCACTTCCTTAATCCTGCAGGGCCTGTCTGTGCCTCAGCCTCAGGCCTCACTGTTCCTTCCTCCCTCCCTGAAGATGAGTCACACTGAGGTCCTCTTATGTCCACCAGATGGCTATGGGACTGCAGCAAGTCCTTCCCTCCCTCAGGTCAGGGGGTGGAGTTCAGTGACGCCTGCCCCCGGAGAGGCGAGCGGGTGTTCTGTCTGAGGCAGAAGTGATGTTCTGGGTCTTTCGGGACGAGGCCATGAGAAGCCTTATGGGTTCTTATGGATCCTGTTCTTTGGATACTTGCTTAGGGTGGAGCCAGCTGCCTTGAAAGAAGTTTGACAATCCTAAAACCATGCAAGCTCGTCACCAGAGAGATGCACGACCCCCTATGTCATCCCAGCTCTCCCAGCCCAGGAACCGGACCTTTAAGTAAAGAAACCTTCAGCTGGCTCCAGGCCCCACTGCAACCTCATGAGACCCCAAGGAAGAAATGGCCTGCTGAGCCCAGCTGACTTCTGACCTCAAGAGATAATAATAAATTACCCTTTTAAGCCACTACATTTTGAGGTACTTTGTCACACAGCAATAGACAACTGGTATACCACCTAAAGTGATGTCTCATCAGTCTCTGTCACACTCAGGTGTAGGGTTTAAACTCTCTTTCCGGAAGATTCTTCCTTAGCTTTGTGAGTCTGGTCCCCACACCAGCAAATCATATGAATTTTGCACCCCAAGTCTAGTTGCTTAAACCCAGGAGTTATGAACTGTTCAGTTGTGGCAAAAGCTTATAGTTGCCAACCAAATGTCATTCCCCAAACCCTTCGTCCTTTCCTCCTGTTACTGTAAAGCTGGGGATGGCCAGATGCACACTTTCTGGCTTTGCTGAGGGGGATTTTATAACCCTTCTTTGGCCAATGATGTGAGAAGAGTCAGCTGTTGGGTTCTTGAAAACAGTCTTTGCTTGCTGATAGGGGAGAGGCTGGGAGGAGAAACTTTGCCTGATACCACCCCCCACTTCCTGCTTCTGAACATGGTGTGAGGATGTGATGTATGGGGCCGCTGCAACTATCTTAAAACCATGAGGGGAAAGCTGAGAGAGCCAGAAAGACCGCAGCTCAGGGCCCTGTCACCTTCTTATATGAGAAAAATAAGCAACTATTTCTTTAAGACAGTATTGGTCAGGCTGTTTCATTGTGACTGAATGCATTCTTAACTGTGACATCCCTCATGTCCACTTTAGAGACATTTTTCTCTATAAAGGGAGTGCCCCTTTGGAGTCCTCGATAATGAGCCAAGATTTTTCTCCTGGACCTGGGGATTGAGGTGGAGGAAGGAAGAATGTCCCTCTGCCTGCGGTTGCAGCTGAGGATTGGTGGGGTTTCTGGCAGTGAAGTCCTGGGGGTTGCCGATGCATGCTTTCCCCGCTACAGAGCCTGAGGGCCTTCCCTAGCTTCCGCCCGGGGTCTTGGTCCCATGAGAAGTCACAGATGCCATCCCTGAGTGGACTACCAGGGAGCTCTCCCTGAGATGGATAGTGAGCAGGGGCAGGAGATGGCAACAGCCATGGACAGTAAATTGAATCAGGAGACTGGGCTTCATGCCAGCTCTGCCACCAACTGCCTGTGTGACCCTGTATGTCAACCAATTACCTCAGGACAAGTGCGCTGAGCCCTCATACATGAATAGGACCCTGTATTCACAGGAACCGAATGTCCCCAGGCCCTGGTCTCTGAGCCTCATCTTAGAAACACAAGTAATGAATCCTGGGCAATGAGGGATCCATCTCCAGCAGTCAGCAAGTACCATTCCAGGAGCCTC